GAGTGGCAAAGGGAACAGGGTGTGAAAGAGATGAGAGCACAGGTAATATTTCTGTGTGGCCCAAGCATGAGTAGATGGTAGATGGTAAATATGAAACGGCAATTGGAGTGAGCTTGTGCAGGGCCTTATATGACATGCCACAGAATATACATTTTATCTTGTGTAGGATTTTTGTAAAGGAGGCATGTTATCACACTCATGGTGGCAGTATGCAGGCTGGAAAGAAGGGTGAACATACAGAAAAAAGAGGGTCTTCCTTTGTGTTTAGAGGACATTAGAGAAGAATCAGTAGTTCACAGACAATGAGAGAAGGTCTTGGTAAAGTGATAGAAAAATAGTAAGAATAAAAATTAAATCACAGAAACAAGTCAGAACAAATCCACAGGAATCTGAATGTGAAACACATGACCAATTGACATCAGGGAACACCATTATTGCAATTCCTCAAATAAAGTTTAGGAGAAATATTTTAGGAGATAGGGTTACCAGAAAAAAATATAGGATGCTCAGTTAAATTGGAGTTTCTAGATAAGCAATGAGGAATTTTTAATGTAAGCATACCCATGCAATACTTGAGACATACTTATACAGAAGACTATTTTTTGTTTATCTGAAATTCAGATTTCACTGGGTGTCCTATTATTTTTATTTGGAAAATCTGGTAATCCTCGTATGATACAAAAGTTTGAAAAGGTCTGGTGATCAGGCTCAATGATCTGATTGCTTTTTTGATGATCAAGTGTTGCTATCTTTGTTTGGAGCTGTGAGGTACAGGCCCCAGTGAAGCATTTGATAGAACACAGGGGGAACCTTTGGGAAGTCTTTTCTACATTTAAACCACTGCTAGGGATTTCACCTTACAATGAGATTGTAAGAAGAAAAGGGGAAATATAGAAAACAGGGAAAATTCAAACTACTGAAAGTATCTAATATTCTACAGGCTAGATGGACAGTGTCTTGTGTATTCCAGGAAACAAAATGGGATGTCTTCCCCACCGAGAGGGATTAGCCAGTTCGCTTTATCGCGTTTGAACAAGGCCAGACTGCCATTGTTATTTATGCTCTTGATATACAGTGGCTCCTGTGTTCTGGCTCCTGTTTTTATTGAGGCTGTAAAAACATTACAAAAACCCCAACAATAAACACTCTGCTGAGAATGTGAGGTCATAGTAATGTGACCTCACAGGGAGCCAGGGCCCCGGAATCCCTAGAAGCCCAGCAACCACTGGAGTTGTGGGGTGCAGGATACTGGGACGGGGCTCGGAAGAGGAACTATGGGCCCAGGCCCACCCTGGGCTGCGTGATGAGCTGGCCTTGGTTTCTGTCTTCTTGCTGGTGAGTTTGTATCGCCATCATATCGCAGACTTTCTGATTTAAAAGGAGCAGCCTCTGTTCTTGTTCAAGTAATCTCATGAGTCGTGGAATGGGAAAAATTAAGCCATCTTGGAATGGAGGTATTTAGCCTCACTTTATTCCGAACTTTCTTTTTTTACTGAAGGCTTTTTCAAGAAGATCTGGAGAAGTCTGACGCATACAGATTTTAATATTACCTCCCTCTGATGAATATGAGGAAAAGGAGAAATAGACTGGGCTGGGTGAGACAGTAGAAAGAGGAGACAAATGTGAAGAATGAGCAGCATAATAGGAATGATTTGGGTCACTACATTTTAAAAAATACATGCTGATTAGGATAAGTCTCTTGTATTTGAACAAAATCTTTGCTGTACTATATAGTATGTGGTATACTTCTATTGTTTGTCTGGACTGATTAAATATATGCCATGAATTTACCCTGAGAAATGAACAAAAAGTAGCAGTTTAATTGAGAAGAAAGTTGTTTCTTTGACCTTTATTTACTTTTTGACATGATAGCTAATATATAGAGTAAGAGAATGCATGAGAACACAACTCCAGGGATTTATTATTTTTTTTAATTTATAAAGATTACTTGATTTTAACTGAACTAATTCGTAGAGTAAATCTTTTACATGTCTACTACTTATGTGGGAAAACACAAAGTTGAGTTGCCTTTAAAGGAAATTTCTTCTATGACTGCTGATTATAGGTTTGCCATATATAATAATTAAATATTTAGTGTTCTGATGTTTCACAAAGCTGGCTTGTAATGTGGACTTTAAAGGAAAATTTAGGATGAAAAATATTGAAATTATTTGCATGAAGATTTCATCAGGATAAAGCAGTTGATTGTAATTTGTGGGTATTTCTGCTAGAAAATTGTTTAAGATAGCTAATAGTTTAAGGAAGGTTATCAAACACCCCAGTTTGCCTGGATCCGTTCCAGTTTATATCTGCTGTGTTGACGTTGACTCTGCTTTAGCATTTGACTTGATCTTAAAAAAAAAAAGGGGGGGGGCGCGGATTTTCATTACTAGTCATAGTAAAATAAGTCGGCATGTGTTTGCTCCACCTCCACTTTATATTTCCCGCTTCTCACTTCTTCGTGGTCTCATCTGGAAGGTGTGAGTTGACATGTGCATTGAGCAGAAGTTTCACATCGGTTGAGACTCAAAGGCAATGTGGGACAACCGCTCTCTTCTCCCTCCCTGATAGCTCCCTGATAGCCCCCTTTCGGGGCAGCCTGTGGAGCTGATACAGTGAGCTTGGGGAGGAGTTGCTACGGAGAGTTAACTCCTACAAGTCTGGCAGTGGTCTGGGAAGCCTGCGACATGGCAGTCCAGGAGCTACTTTTGTACCAGCTGCTTGTGCAGTAGCCCTGCTTGTATTTGAGTGACAGTGAAGCTGCCAGGCTACACTTAATTGGCGGACCCGTGGGAAACCAGAAGTTGTGATTTAGGTAGAATAAGTGACAGAATAAAGATTGAGCAGTTCTGCTTAAAAATGTATTTATTTTTGCTAAAATAATTTTTGTCATTTATTACATGATATAAGTTTACAACTAATTTTTTGTTTTACTTGTAACAAGTATAATTACATATTTAATGATTTTTATCATCCCTGTTTCCTCTCCAGAGTGTCCTGGTTTAGACAATAAATGGCTACTCTATTTATAACTCAGGCCAAGTTAAAGAACTATGGGATAGAGCAAGGCCATGTAAACGAGGCCTATGGGCCCCACTCAGCCTTGCCTGGAATGGCTTGTAAGTTTTTAAAAGTTGTAAAAAAAAACAAAACAAAACAAAACAGAAACAAAAGAGTCTTGTGTGAGAGAACCTTATGTGGCCGGCAGGTCTGCAATATTTACTATCTGGTCCATTACAGAAAACTTCTGACTATGTCTAGTTTAGAGTCTGTGGTGTGTATGTTGGAAGGCTACTTAAGCACGGTAGTTTATCATGAACATAGATTTGTTTTGTTACCAAGTTAAGATGCAGATTTGGAAATCACTGTGTTCTCATTGGTTCTAGTGTTATAAATGCGTGATGTAGCATTCCATAACCAGCCACAGGCTGGAGTGTGTGACCCCTTTCTAGAGCAGAGGCCTCACAGTGTGGTCTGTGGGCCTTCCTGAGAGCCTTTCAGTGGGTTTGTGAGGTCAAGGTTATTTTATAATAACTGTATAGCATTATTTTCCTGTTTCACTGTGTCGATATTCGCACTGATGGTACAAAGCAATGCGGGGAGGGGAGGATTAGCACAATTGAAGGGGTTGGCACCAAAGTGTTCTGGTTGTCACTGTATTCTTCACTGCCGTGCACCCAAAATAAAGACCGGTTTTACCTAAAAATGTCCTTGATAAAGTAGTACAAATTAATTGCATTTCAACCCTTGAGTGCATACCTTTTTAATTTCGCATGTGATGAAATGGAAAATATGCATAAAGCACTTATGCTCGTAATGGTTGTGTCCAGGAAAAGCACATGTATGTAATTTGAGTTGTGAGCTATAAACTAGTCGCTTTTTTTCATGGAATGCCAGTTTTCCTTCAAAGTGTGACTGAAAAACTGGTTACTGGCAGACATTTTTTCAGAAATTAATGCAGTGAGCCTATTTAGTGTAAGGAAAAAAACTGACAATTTTTGTTGCCAGTGATAAAATGTGAGCTTTCAATCAAAAATTAAAATTTGGAAAAATATATCTGCACTAAAAGTTTGACAGCTTCCCAATACTTAGACTTCTTTTCTGAAGATATTCGTGGTGACATTAATGAATATGATATTTTAAAATATTGTATAATGAAGTATGCCAACAAATATTTTGCAAATGACCATTGCATGTTACAGAATTATGCCTGGATAAAAGATCCATTCAAAGTGTAAAACATTTTAATATAAGAATACAAAAAGTTCATTGATACAATTTTACGTTATATATTGCAACTAACCTTTAAGAAACTACAACTTGTCTTATTTTGGTGTCATATCAGAAATAATATCTACAATTACAGATCAAAAGATTATTAAAATGCTCCTTATACTTCTAACTAAATATCTGTGTGAGACTAGACTTTCTTTATGTATTTCAACCAAAACCATATATTGTTACAGATTGAATATAGAAGTGGCTGTGAAAATTCAGCTGTCTTCTACTAAGCCAACCATTAAGGAAATTTGTAAAAAATGTAAATCATCATTATTTGTCTCACTAAACTTTATGTTGTTTTGGAAAATATAGTTATTTTTAATAAAAACATTATTTATATTCTTGATATGGATTTGTTATTTTTAAGTGAGTTAATATTTGAAATTTTCTTTTTTAATTACTAAAACAGTGAATATCAGTAGGTATAACCCACATAAACAAAGGTCTTTGGAATCCTCCATACTTTTAAAAATGTAAAGGTCCTGTGACCAAAAAGTTTGAGAACTGTTCATCCAGGGTTTAAGCAATCCCTTCTTTAGTACTTTGAAATAATAGCAACTGAAAATACTTTTATGAATAATTAAGCATAAAATCATTTTAAATCGTTTTGTTTTCATTTAGTTGGCCTACAATATCATGATAATTTCATCAGCTATTTTCCTTTTTGCCACACAAGAAAAATCTGTTTCTTTTTTCCCCCTTTTTATCAATTCTCACAGCAATGCTGGGGTGAAAACAGCACTGTTAGAGGCTCATTCTGAAATGGGGAGCACTGAAATTCTGGAAAAGGAAACCTCCGAAAATCTCAGTAATGGTACCAGCAGCAACGTAGAAGCAGCCAAAAGGCTGGCCAAACGGCTTTATCAACTAGACAGATTCAAGAGGTCGGATGTCGCAAAGCACCTAGGCAAGAAGTAAGTCTGTCCCAAGGCTGGTGTCTGAGTGTGTCAAGTGTGTGTGTGTGTGTGTAGGGGTGTTAATGGCCTCAATTTTAATAACCATGTCTATTTTGCTTTCTTATAGCAATGAATTTAGCAAACTAGTTGCAGAAGAATATCTGAAGTTTTTTGATTTTACTGGAATGACGCTGGATCAGTCTCTCAGGTATGATTGGACATCACTTTTTTATTCTTCTTTGCCTCCATATAATTCCGAGAAGAGAAAGTAATGTGCTTAAGCTAAAATCTGATTTTTATTTTTTTAAACCCACAGTTACTTTGTGAAGTTAGCTCAGATTGTACTATAGATATTAAATGTAGTAGAAAGAAAAATATGTTGTTTGTATGGAATCACACATGAACTCATATTCCACATCTACTAAAGGACACAGTGAAGAATCGTGGCAACGTAAGTCTTGAGAAGTGGATTCTTTGCGAATTTGGTTTTCGAATGATCAATTTATAAGAAGGCAGTTTACAGGCTATAGAATTATAAATATTTTTCCTAAGCATTTGTTTACAGTACCTAAGAACCTTTTAAGACAGTACTTTGGAATTAACTCATGAATGGAATAAAAATGAATATCAGTATGATAATCAGCAGAAAGTATAACATCTGTAAAAGTGTTTCAGGCGGTGGCACTTTTTGCCGACCTATTTGAATGAAGGTGTCTTCCACAAACTGATCCTCACTTTTCATACCATATTGCACTATACATTTCTAAGAGCAGCTGAAGGTACCACCCAGTCAGCGTTTAATCTTGCTAAGTGTCAGAGCCTGGAAGAACTCTGAGATCGTCTTCTGGAACCCTCTAGTTTTACAAATCAGGCCACAGACCGGGGAAGTGAAGTGAGGAGGATGTTTGGATTGTAATGCACTCAGTGACTTACTTGATGGCTTTTGCATAAATCAAGGGTACTTAACAGTTTTCTAAGGAAAGATCTATATTTTTGTTCCACTTTCCGATATGTTTTATAGAAAAAAGTTATGAAAAATTAAAGTTTGATCAATGCAATTTATATTAAGCTATAAATAAGGAAAAAAGCAACATTTTCATCATAGAAATAAGGTTTATTGTACGTTACTTTCAATAATAAGATTCCTTAGGGCCGGCAGAGTGGCTCAGTTGGTTAAGAGCTCACTCAAGAGTGCGAGCTCTGAGCAACAGCTGTTCGAGTCCTGGCCTGAACCAAGCTGCCACTGAGCTGCCAACAGGTGGCAGGATGGCTCAGCTAAAAAAAAAATAATAATAAATAATAATAATAATATGCCTTAGAACATTTTAAATGATTTTTTTCTTCCCATCTCATGTTCAGAGAAATGTATCTACTTTGTCAAGTGAGGGAACCTGGATTTATCTATAATAGAGAGTACTCTTAGTGACTCTGATTTAGATGGGTATGTGGTTCTGGGCATTTTTTCTATTCAAATAGTTTTTATACATAATTTATTCCTAATTTATGGAATAAATTAGGGTTTTATCTCCCAGCTGCCTCCTCATATAACAAGGTAATAATATAATGTGATAATAGGCAAAATAAAATTAACAGAAATCTGCACACATGACAATATAATTATAATTTTAACAGTTGGGTCAGTGGCAATTCCAGTCATGTAATAAAATGACCCTCCCCCAAAAAACTGTGATCTATTTAGAGTTTTAAAACATAGCCTGTGTGATTATGCGTACAGTCCTAAGTCTAAGAGTTATTTGGTTTTTATCCAACTGATGTTTTAAAGTGGCTACTCAACAGTCATGTGGGGAAATTATCTACCTTCCCAAGGTTTTCCTTAATGTACTGGCCACCATGTTATTGCCCTGTCATCTTTTCTATTGACATTTTATAAAATTTAAATGTCAATATAAATTGATACTAATGACTGTCTAGTAAGTGATTTATTTTTTTGAAATAACTGTAGATTCTCTTACTTTGCATAATTAATTTCTAATGTTTATATGAATTAACTTTAACTGTCAAACAAAGAATATGGTAACATTTTCTAAAAATCTCACTTTTTACCCCCTTAATTTTTTTTTTTTTTAGGTATTTCTTTAAAGCATTTTCTCTTGTGGGAGAAACTCAAGAACGAGAGAGAGTTTTAATACACTTCTCCAATAGATATTTTTATTGTAACCCAGATACCATTGCTTCACAAGGTAATCTG